CTTTAACTGTCTTTTAGGTAAAAACCCACATTGATTCTCATGAATAAATTCTTGCAAAATTCTTGCTTTGCAGCAGGTCTTGAAAAAATATCCTGAAACCGAGAAAGAACTGCACTGTTTGAGTGTTTTCTTCTCTGAAAGCACCTGACAGCCTGAAATCTCTCAGTACTGTCATTTTAGGTTATACTATGAGATTCTGTCTATTGAACTAAAGCCCCAGGCCTAGAAACTCACAAAGCTTTTCAGGGATCTTTCTTTAGACTTCCTCTCAAATAGTTGTTTCCAGGTGTTTCCGTCAGCTTTGGTACTGCAAGATGGTCATAATGTGCAAATATGTTCTTCTCAAGAAAGTAAAAACAGACTTCGGATGGGTACAGAGTACAGGAAGAATCCCAGGTTTCTGCATTAGTTTCTATTTCTTGTTTGTAAGGAATCAGTGGGAGATTGAGGGGAAGGAATGAAAATATATTCCTCTCAATTTCCCCTTGCAGAACTTCAGGAATCTTGGAAATTTCTAGATGGATGGATGGATAGATGCACACACAAATCACACATCTGTACTAACAAGTGGGGTGCCCTCTGTGACTTTTCAGAACAATAAAAAGCACACTTTTAGGTTCATTTTCAAAGCACCCTTTTTACCCACATCAGCTTCCAACACCTCTCCCTCCTTCCTTCAATACTGCCATTACTACAGTCCTTGCTTGAAACTCACAAACATTTGAATCACTTTCTGGGTCAGATGCTGATGGCCACTGACAAGTGTAGGTCAAACTGTGTGAAACAGCTGTTGACTATCACCGAAAATGTCTTCTAAGAATATCTGCTCCAAACCTGCAATATTGATGAGACTCACACTGGGAGGGGACACAGTCAATGCTTACTGACAACTTTTTTCTAAGTTGCTCTGTGAATTACTTTGGAAAAGAAGCACAGGTTGAACGGCTCCAATGCGTCGTTCCTCACCACCTCTGCTCTCCTGCTGAGTTTTCAATAAATACAGGAATCTGAACTCCTATTCTGTCCAGGCTGCAAGGGCCTGCATGTTGCATCACCAGAAGGAGCCAAAGAGAATGCTTGTGCAGCAGAAATAAGGTATCACACACAGGAGCCCCAGCAGATCTTCCCCGAAATAACTAACTAACTAACTAACTAACTAACTAACTAACTAACTAACACCTCACATGGTTATTTTCCTTCTATGAAGCTACACAGTGCAGCTTTGACCACCTATAGAAATTGCAACAACGCTCTGAGCACATCCCAAATTTCTGGAGCTTTGCCCCCTAAGCATCTGCCAAAAGGACCCGACACTGATTGTTTAATGGTCTACAAATATTTACTTTCACTGCCACCCCTAACTTACTTAATGTCCCATCCTTTTAATGTTTTTGGCTGATAATATATGTTTGGCATCAGCACACACAACCCTCCCCCTTTTTGTCTGAAGCAAAATTGGGATGATACCATGTGCACACGTGATCTGATCTGATCTCATCAAGTTGCCCTCTCTCCATTTGCAACCCCCCCCTTCTCTTTCATTTTTTTTTTTAAACAAACAAGACAGGCTCCCTCCCCTCCAAGAGAAAAGGAAGGGAGAGGTGGAGGTTCCAAGGCAAGTGGACAAGGATGGCTGGGCTTCCAAATCGCCCTGGGGAGATTCCAGAGGCCCCAGTCATCCTTCTCCCCGTGCCATCCCTCCCTCTGAGCCAAGATGAGGCCAGGAGACGACCGTTCGGCCACCACGGCTGGGCATGTCGGACAAGACCTTCTCGCCGTTTCCAGCCGGCGCCTACCATCTTGACATCCCTCTCAACCTTGCCACTACACTACTGCGCTTAGACGCGTTCCAGGCACACGCACGCAGAGCCCAGACACGCTCGCCGGCTCCCTCGGAGCTTTGCTCTTCGGCTGGCGTGTCTGCGAGGGCAGCGGCGTCCCCCGCGCACGAGGGGGCCGCGCTGGCGAGGACTCTCCCTCTCCCCCGTCCAGCAGAGCCCCAGGGCCGCGCGGGCAGACTCACCTCCACGAAATAAAAGCAAGGCAACAGGGTGACGCTTTCCTTGGTAGT